AGGTTTAATTATTGACGGTCCCATTAGTTCTTCTCTTCCGGTCATATTAAGTCTTCTTCTCCTATGGTTTGCCTTGTTCATATTCTTTGGCATCCTTTATGTGGAAATTTTCGGATTGACACGTTGGGAAAGCGCAGAGACCCATAACGAGAACTATACCAGCTTAGGACGTGCGCTTGTCATGCTGGCCTTCATGAGCACTGGGTACGCGGTCATCGTGAATTAATTGACTTATCTAACACAACGACTAGGGAGGGCTGGAATCAATACATGCATGATTTGTAAGATATGTCCTTATTCAGGCCTTCAGACTGGATTGCTCATTTGAAGTTCAATAGTGCAATCAGTTATCCGCGTTGTACAAACTCTTCCCCAAGCGACCCGGATTCTGATTGTGGAAGTCCTGGATGGGCGTATCTTCTTTTCATTACATGGAATATATTGAGCATGGTAGAGTTTCGATATTTAAAGCCTAAAAGCTTTTGTCTAATCAATCCGCAGTATATATTTGTCAACATGTTTACCGGTAAACTCAATATCTTGCGTGTTTCTAATTGACTGACGTGTATGTTTTAGGTGTTGTAGTAGAAAACTTTTCGTATGTTTTTCAATTGGCTGGCGGCGCCAAATCAGTGGACCGAGAACAAATGCGCGCATTCAAGAAAGTTTGGGCTGAGTTCGCTGATCAGCAGACTGGACGACTAAAACGAGAAAAATTAGTACCATTCTTCGGTGTAAGTTTTATTGTATAGTCTTTCGACGCTCATATTCAAAAGTTCTGTAGAAACTTAGTGGTGTCTTTGACATCCGTATATATCCAACGAACTATCAGATCGGGAAACTTCTGGCCAACGCTCGAGTCTCGGAAGAAACGAAGTCGTTAGATGTTTCTTCACGTGCACCCGAGCTAGATCTTCGCAAACTGAATTCCATACTAAACACTATGGACTTCACGAACATTCGACGTCGACGAATGCTGTATGTACGGCTATATCATGAAGCATGTCTGGCATTTGAGCGTAATGAAGGAATCTCCTTCACGGATATGCTTCTTTTGTTAGCGCATAACAAACTAATTACCGACAAAGAAGCGCTAAGGTGCGTCAATGCCCTTGACTCGTGTCAGTCGACTCTAATGAACCCACAGTGTAAAAGAGTTGCTCATCCGCCAAGAAACCACCAAAATGGTTTTAGATGCCGTTAATGTCGACAAGGTTGAATCTGTGCTTAAGATGATACATCATCGTCGTCGGTTTCTTCGTTACATGAAAGAAAAGGCACAGTCACAGAGAACCGGTGAGCAGGACTTCACATAGCCAAATATGACTCTGACTCCAAACGCTTGAGGAGACATACCCGAAATCATTGTTGAACTCGACTCCACAAATCAGCCTGATAGTAATTTGCGTTCCGTGGATGCAAGGAAGTCTTTCAGTGGGCTTACTACTAGTAGTAGCCAGGAGATTCATCGCCAAACGTACGTTCTGTGTTATTCATACAGCGCATCGAATTCATTGTACAGAACATTGGATAATAGCGGAGAAGGTATATCTCCAAGACATTCGATAATCCTGGATAATCCAGAAAACCTTCTTCTCTCTCTAAACAATTCTCCTTGGGGAGGTGGGTTTATTTACTACTCTGATATGTCAATACAATTTACTTACCAGCAAGTGTAGACTTATTGACAGAACATTCTGAGGACGATTAACTAATTTCCTCTGGGCTAAACCTAGATATTATTTATTATCAGTTATTAACCTACAGTTAGTGCACAAGGACTCGTCTTAATATTTAAATCTAAAAAGTTGAAATTACGTAACCAACGCTTTCTCAAAAAAATGCGATGGGGACCTCCGCTGTCCAGACTGATTCCGCGGGGAAAAAATACCATTAACTACTCGATTGGTTTTGAAAAAAAATTAATTCGTAATGCTTCAGCAGCAGTTGCTGTGACTCCGCAAGCTCGAATTCAGCCTAATACCCCATGGTCTACCTCGGGGACATCATTGACTCCGGAGGATATATCCAGCTTGACTAGACAGCGCAATATTGGAGTATCGGCCCATATTGACTCAGGAAAGACGACACTTACCGAACGTATCTTATATTATACCGGTCGAATTGATGAGATTCATGAAGTAAGTGATGGTAAAAATTAATCCTTTTTGATCCCTTATTGCTACTTCCTCCCAAGGTTAGAGGGAAAGATGCGGTTGGTGCAAAAATGGACAGTATGGAACTCGAACGCGAAAAGGGTATAACTATTCAGAGTGCAGCAACCTATTGTGATTGGACTGCTACCCTCCCCAGTACAAATCAACGGGAGAATTACTCTATCAATATTATCGATACCCCTGGTATATATTCTTATTTCTCCTCACTGGTAGTATTAGTTAATGAAACTATGTTATATATAGGACACGTGGATTTTACAATCGAAGTGGAAAGAGCATTGCGTGTACTCGACGGGGCTATATTGGTGCTGTGCGCCGTTGCTGGAGTACAAGTAGGATTTCTTTCTTTATTTTTTTAGTTCCTAAGCCTTTAACTTTGTATCAGAGTCAAACTATTACCGTAGACCGGCAGATGCGACGATATAATGTACCCCGCATATCATTTGTTAACAAAATGGATCGGTTAGTCGCTTTCCATATCCCACAGTTGTTTTCGGATTGATGCTGTTTATTAGACCTGGTGCAAATCCCTGGCGTATAATAGATCAAATCCGTTCCAAACTGCGAATAGCGGCCGCGGCAGTCCATGTGCCAATCGGGGTAGAGTCGGGCTTTACAGGGGTCATAGACCTTGTTCGATGGAAAGCCGTATATAATGAAGGAGAAAAGGGGTATAATATCTTGATGTCATTTCTCCTTCAATCAGACTTATTGTTTGTTTTTAGGGAGAAGGTTAATGAAACAGATGATATACCTCCCCATCTTTTGGACTTGGCTAAGCGAAAGCGCTCTGAGCTTATCGAAGTTGTTGCGGAAGTCGATGAAAAACTCTCCGACTTGTATCTAACGGATAGCGAAATTACAACACCTGAACTTGTCGATGCTATTAGAAGGGCTACAATTGCTCGTAAATTTTCGCCGGTCTTCCTCGGTTCTGCTATCAAAAATACTGGCGTGCAAGTTCTTCTAGATGGAGTTTGTGCTTATCTTCCTGATCCTGCCGAAGTGACCGCATTGGCAACAGATATGTCGCAGCGACTGTCCTTAGAAACAGACAAGGGGAAAACGAACACCTTCGCCCAAGTTCCGTTAATACCAGCTGCCGATGCTCCTTTCGTAGGCCTTGCTTTTAAACTCGAGGAAGGACGATACGGTCAATTGACTTATATGCGGGTTTACCAAGGCACACTTAAGAAGGGCTCATTTATATGGAATGCTCGAACTGGGAAGAAGTTAAAAGTTCCTCGATTGGTACGAATGCATAGTAACGAGATGGAGGTATCGTATTCTTCTTTTTTTTTTTGATCTAACGAATTTTTTTACAATTTAATTCAGGATATTGACTCCATTGGACCCGGGGAAATTTGTGCAATCTTTGGCATGGACTGTACAACAGGTGATACTTTCAATGATGGATCCACAAGTTACACCATGGTGTGTCGTTCTCTCCCATCTCATCTTTATTGATCTGTACATGTTGTATATGTTAGACATCTATGTTCGTACCCGAGCCGGTGATATCTCTTTCCATTAAACCTCTTGGACAAGAAACGCCGAACTTTTCTCGAGCTCTTAATCGTTTTCAGAAAGAGGATCCGACCTTCAAAGTTCATATCGATAAAGAAAGCAAAGAGACTATCATATCCGGCATGGGAGAGCTGCACCTTGATATCTACGTCGAACGTATGAAACGTGAATATAACGTCGAATGCGTAACAGGGAAACCACAGGTCGCTTTCAGAGAGACAATCCGTAGACTTGCGAATTTTTCGTATACTCATAGAAAGCAGACTGGAGGTGCTGGTCAATATGGACGTGTCATCGGACATATAGAACCTATGGAGATGGACGAAGAAACTGGCAAGGACATTGCTTTCGAAAACGTTGTTATGAGTGGTAACGTCCCAACACAGTATATCCCCGCGGTGGAAAAGGTTTATATTCTAATACATATCGCGTTGTTTTTTTTTTAAAAATTTTGTAGGGATTCTTAGAAGCCTTGGAGAAAGGTAGTCTGTCGGGAAATCCTGTCGTTGGCTGTCGTTTCGTGTTGAAAGACGGTGCACACCATCCTGTGGATTCATCAGAGTTAGCCTTTCGGTTAACAGCAATTGGCGCCTTCCGTGAAGCGTATAAGCTAGCGGATGCCGTTATATTGGAACCAATCATGAAAGTGGAGGTTGTTGCGCCAGTCGAATTCCAGAGTAACCAAACAACAGTTATGCGTTATATCGAAAGCTAAATGTTCTTTTTTTTGTTTCCTTCTTTCAGGTGCTGTCATTGGAAGCATAACGAAAAGACGAGGTCTTATCGTCGATAACGAAGTCCGAGAGGATGAATTTACCGCGACCGCTGAAGTTGCGCTGAATGACATGTTCGGATATTCTAGCACCTTGCGTGGAGTGACGCAGGGTAAAGGCAAGTGTATTACAATATCTTAATTCGTTACTCTTGGTCAACGCTTTCACAGGCGAATTTAGTATGGAATATAAAGTAGGTTATGATGATATTTTAAGTTTACCATCGAAATGAGCTAATGATGATTGTGTCGTCAGACTCATCAACCAGTCCTACCCCAGGTGCAAAAGGAGATGGAAGAGAATTATAGAAGATCTATAGGACAGAAAAAGTAGTCTGGTTACATAAAACAAGGAGGACCTAGATTATATACTATTATATACAACTCCTCTTTCTAATTTAGTATATGAACGGCTATAGAGTATCCGAATCATTATGGACTATTTAGAGTTATTTCCGGTTTCTGTAGTGAATGGCTTCCAAAATAAAGTTATTTGTATGACAACCGCCAAAAAGAAAAGCAACTTCCATGACGGGGAATCGAACCCCGAGCTGCTGTGTGAAAGACAGCGATGTTAGCCATTACACCATCATGGACATAACACATACTCGAGAAAAGTTGAGAATTGCCATAATCCCAACAACGGTCTTTTTTCTCAGTTTAACTGGAATTTGCTGCCAATGGCGTTATCTCTTGATCTAAAATCTATGTTCCGCATTACTCCACATTGTTTCTGGAAGATTTATTAGCACATTCGGTGGACAGACAAATCGCTAAAATTACTTTGTATGCAATGTATGGAATTATTTGAGTGGAGTTACAATTGTATTATAAGGTGGGCCTATCGTGTGGGCCTATCGTTTATATCGTTTATCACGTTCATATCCCTTTTCTCGGTCACGCCCTCTGTCTCTTTCCCTTTCCCTCTCCCTCTCCCTGTCTCTTTCTCTATCCCAATCCCAATCTCTGTCCCTATCTCTGTCCCTGTCTCTGTCCCTATCTCTCCATTCTCTATCTTTATCAACATCCCTACCGCCGTAACTATCTCTGCGATCCGATCGACTCCCATCATTACCTAAATAGTTCGGATTTGCACGAGAATCTGTTACGGGAGCATATCTGGAATTGCGGGTCGGGTGCTCTTGAAACGATGATTCAATAACCGAGTTATGAGGCCGTTGTGGTAAACTCGACATTCCATCTCCCACTCTGGGAGTAGAATACTGAGATGAAGGGATAGATGGAGCGGGTGAGGTTGTCGATGGAGTAATTTTCTGAGAGGTCTGAATTTCATTTTCTGGATTATTTATTGAGGATGATGTGGGAGTAGGGTGTAAAGGAGTTGCTCCCAGAAAATTTGGCGTCAAGTCATTAATTCCATATTTATTATGTATCATGGCTTTAGTAGCAGTGAGTACCGCTGAAGCGTTATTCACTACAGGATGTGAATACGTCCCCGAATTAGTTGGTGCCTGTAAGCATTAAATTCGAACGGATAAATTTCAGCAAGATAATGAGACATACTAACCGTAATATTTTCAGGAGAAAACCGTACTGATTTAGGTGTCTCGTGCGGCTGAGCAATACTTTCCGAAGTTACTTTTTGTACAACACGCGTTTTAGTCTCACGCTCTTCAGAATCTACCTCCATAGAATCGTAAGAGCGTTTCCAACCGGAGACTTTCGTCGCTTGTATTTTTGCCGAGTTCTCATTTGAAGAATTGATGGCCTGAACAGCAGTGGGTAATCCTGGTGTTTTTTGTAAGGTGTCTAACGAGATCTCGTCCTTGATAATTGTACACATCGTCTTGAATACCTTTGAATTATTTCGAACATCATCGTGTTGAGCCCGAACTTCCTTACGAAGAATATTAATAGCCTCAGATAGTTGGGGGATAGAGAATTCGTCCATGAATTTTGCGATTAAAGCGCCGATTATGATAAATTCCACGGGAGCGACCCTCGAAGGTTGTGTAAGAGGTTTTTTTAATTTTTTGTCTTTTGCAATGTCGCGGAAAATCCGAAATGTGTCCATGACCTTTTGACGCATGATCGACGTTGGTTGCTCGTTCTTGCTCAGCCACTTTTGAAGTGGCAGAGTTCCAACATGTACGAAATTGGGAAGGTGTACGATGGTATAAACTGTCTGACAAGTGTTCTGGTAATCCCGAGATCGTTTGCGATCCAGATCGAGACTAACACCAATTCCATCCTCTTTGTTGACAAATTCGTCGCAAATTTCGCGGCAGAGTTGAGCCCAGGGCCCAATGACAGCTTGCATTTTTTCTAGATAAAAAACCTATTAGACATTAAGAGATTCGTTGACTCGATTTTTACACACCTGCCGTTGTTAAAGCCACACCCAGTTGTACCCTCTGAAAGATAACAGAATAAAGAACGGATCCGCGAATAATTTTAAACACAAATACGAACCTGGAATATTTCACGTTCTAACTCGGGGGTTAAATTACTGTACTCGATACAAACCATCTGTTTATTTTGGAATAGACTCCGGTAACTCGAGGATAGGATAGTCCTTTTAGGGTCTCTGTCATTTTCAGCGAACCATAATTTCTCCTTGGTAAACCTGTGTAGATTATTAGATAGGGTATATGAAGTTTTATTAAATCGACTTTCTGATCAACGTCTAAAAATATGATGTTAACGAGAGGTAAAAGAATCTTCCATAATATTTCATATTAACGTACAAGGAATCTAGAACGAGTTATTATGAATTATAAGGGCTTTAAGGAGAAAGAAGAGTATACTCACTTCACCGGAAAGAAATCTTTTTTTGAAAGTCATCAAATCTGTGTATAAAAACGAAACAAACTGGCATTTTCATACCTTCGGAGACTTGTCAGCCGTTGTTTACCATCTATGAATATGTATCGCGTAAGAATTCATTATTAAACGATCGTGAATTTAATAACTCGCCAATACAGATTCGTCTATAAGAATGATTCCCGGTTTCAATACAGTTATATGTCATAGTTTACAATAGTGAAGCTTACCTTTCGGTGCCATCTTCCTCGCTCTGTACAGCTGAAAAATGTTTAATAGTAAATGATAATAAAAACATAAACATTAATGACTGGTACAAACTGAAAATAATAGGCGGTACGTAGAAATTCCGGAAAATGGAATCTATGAGTCCAATCTGTTTTTGGTCAGACCAGACGACATCTAATCAAGTGCATCAAAAAAGTCAACGTGATTTTTTCTCAATTTACGCGATTTTAAATAGGGAGAAAGGTAAAATACCTCTTTGATAATCTGGATTCAGTTCGATATCGCCTTGTATGATTTGGTCTGGGTATTTTTTTTTGTCAGGAGACGCGACATTCTCTCTCAAATAGAAAGTATCATGTACCAAACAACGCTCTAGTCGAATATTGAGTTGCACGACTTGGTGTTAAGACTTGGGATAGCCTGTACCCTGATTTTTCACCCTTTGTTTTAACCGAAGTCTTTTTGATTGCCCCTGCTAATGTCTCTTCCTCTGAACTCTCTGACTCAAGATCGTCATCTTCCAACATAATTGTTTATCCTAAAAAAAACTTTGAAATAGTAATTGGCAAAAAAGCAAAGCGACTGAGATGAAACCACCAAGTGATGGCTTAAAAAAGGTGCACAGCCTGCTGAGTAAGCGCCTAAGGGGCTATTACACCGTGACGCGTGACGTGTGCTACTAACGGCGCGGGACAATATATATAAGGTGTATATGTACTAATAAAAAAAAAAAACTAATTAGTCATTTCGCTAACGCATTCCCATCCTCCCTGTAACTTTTCTTTCCAAAGTGTGACTTTGCCATCGCCGCAACTGACAGCTAAAATGTTTCCAGCCAAACTCCAAGATACACGCCAAACAACGTCAGGAAATTTGTTATTAGTCGCGCCAGACATGGAGGAAGGATCTAGAGTTGTCTTCACCCATGGTGAAGTTGGAGTATCTTTGGTCCAAATAATAACAGTTCTGTCCTGTGAGAGATTGTTAACTATATTCTAGATATGCTTCGCAAGTCGCAATTACTAACTTGAGAGGCTGTTGCGATATACGAACGAGGAAGACCAATGTTGGGTGCCCAAGCAACATCACGAACCCAATCTGCATGTCCTTCTAAGGTTTCTTCTTCAACCCAGGCTTGTTGATCTTCTCTGTGTACTTGTTTTAGGGAAAGAAACCCTTATATATAGGATAGATTTCCGCACCTGTAACCCCAAATTTTTACAAGATTATCGCATCCAGCACTTGCAAACCGCTTAACTGTTGCATAAGATGGTCTGTCTGAATTAGTAGGCAAGTTTGTTTGTTGAGAGGATGGTGTAATTAATGATCCTGGAAGAGTCGCTGGTGCCCAAGATACTGCGTTGCAACCGATAGCATGACCGTTAAATATATCGGCACCCCAAGTACCATCATCTTTGAAAGAGAAGATTACTTTTAAATAGCGTATTAGGTAGTTCAATATTACACGCACATTTGAACGTCAAAACAGATAGCTTTCCATCAGAAGACGCACACGCGACGATAGCTCCAAGCTCATGAGGTGCCCAACTGATAGAATTAACTATGTAAAGAAATAAGATTAAATTTTTGAGAGAAAAACCATTATCACAAACCTGACGCGGTATGAAGAGTGTGTTCCTTGATTTTAGTCCATGGACCGAAACCGCCTCCTTGTCCCTGTCCTTGAGGTTGCTCTTTCCAGATAAACACCTTTCCATCATACGAACAAGAAGCCAATATATGACCATATTTTGGGTGGGCCCATGCAACTTGCCAAACAGGACCGTTATGTCTTGAAAAAAAAAATGAGATAAGTATCATTTAAAAGTAGAGTGTCGTCGCTATATAAGTACCCTCTCAATGTTTGACCTTCTTTTTTCTGCATTTCTCCGTTTACAACTTCAAATACTCTAACAGTACGATCGGATGAGCAAGTTGCCAGTCTTTTTCCATAATAGTCCAGTTGCGCATCGTGCTGTTAAGACAGGAAGCAAAGTCAGAGAGACAATGTTCTTCTAAGAAACGGGACATAACATACTATTACATCATCATGGGATGTTTCTATAGCTACTGCTTTGGAAGCAGTTGTTGTGGCCTGAAAATAAAGATGAAATTATAAAATAAAGAAGCGCATCTGTGCAACATACCATGATACCGTGGAGTTTACAAAAACTTGTACGTGGCTGAACGAGCGCTTGTTTTGTCGGTCTCTCGGATGCTTTTCACTGAACCATGTAGTCTGTGTTTTCGAATCGGATCGTTTGAATGAAAATTAGTTAACTCCTCTGTTCGTATGCCGAGCGGACGGGTCCTCACAACTTATCTCTACGGTAATACTCTTGTATCGCTTTCCTGTTCGAGAACACTGTATTGAATCAGTTGAAAACTGACGGAATAGCTTATGGTTAACATTCACAGCTCTTAAAGACACACGTTTAATACTACTTCTAGGTTTTGGCTGTAAACAAATATGGCAGGAGCTTGTGTTGTGGCATGAACGGTCTAATCCTGCTCTTGCTTCCAAGACTTGGTTACAGCTAAGTCATTCCCAAACCAACAATGTTACCTACACCTTGAAAGATTC